CCAGACGCTTAACTGACTGAGCCACCCAGACCTGATTTTTCTACTGAATTCATTCAACCTGCTGACTCTATGAGCTCCTTCTTGGTATGGTCCAGTCCCAATTCACATAGCCCACATAGATCGTGAAACCAATCCCTTTATATTAAAACTCAAGTGTAATTTCCCCATATTTTTTCTAAGGGAAAGAATCTTAAAGTTCTGGCCTCCTTCTGCTGGGCAACTGTTTGCCCATCTGTCCCAAGCCCCAAACCAGGGGTAGAAAGTTCTGGGCCCAGCCAAGGGCCTACGCTGCAAACAGCCTTTACCGAGGCCAGGAGCAGGGAGCCTGTTATAGTGGTTGGAGCAGGGAGTTTGGGGATGGGCAGTGTGGCTATTGACACAATGCATGAGAGCCACTGACCTCAATCTGAGAGCCTGGACCGACCACAGGTTCAGAAGCTTATCTTAATTCATTGACCATGCAGGCCCACACAGACCCAGTTTGGCCTCATGGTTGGTAGCTAGTAGCTATTAACTTACAGAAGGTAGAACTGCTCAGTTTCCCTCTCCTGGGGAAGCTGGGGGAATTTAATTAGCTGGAGGTGAGCTCTAACGATACTAATTATCTTCAACTTTACTGAGGAAAAAGAAGCCAATAATACTATTCACCAGCCTTGTTCCTTATAGACTAAAGAGTACCAGTGATAGTTTTGTTACTTGGAACAGGCCCCTGGTATAGATGGAAAGGCACTGGGTCTGCAGTCAGCCCACCCTGAGTTCAATTCCTGACTCTGTCACTTACTAGCATGTTGCTTTGCCTCTTTTCCCTCACTGAAGGTAAAATCTTCCTTTTCTGCCCCACTGGGTTGTTACAAACACCAAAAGGCACAGCATGTAAACAGGCTCTGTAACCTGCAGTGCGCTGCCATGCTTCTCCTTCGGTTTCCTGCCTCTGGACAGCCCCACTCTGTCTTCCCTGAGATGAACTGGCCCCACCCATGCCCTCCTCCAGCTGTGGATGCAACCTGCTTCTGACTTGTTTCTGGCACTTTTCCTGATGCTGGCTTAGTTGCTAGGCCCCTCTGGGTATTGCCCTGATGACTGTTTTAGGTGATGATAATGGGCAGTTTGAATATCACATCCACTGGGCAAAACTTGTTTTCCTTTCCCCCAAATCAGGGAGTTCTGTTATGTCTGATTTCTCTTCTTAATGGCCTTTCCCAGGCGCCCAACAATTTAGTCTCTAGGTTACTTGAGCTTGGCAGGGTGCTTCAGTTGCAGGCACCCACCCAATTCCTATTACTTAGTGGTACCCTCTCTTCTCTCCTTTATATTCCAAATTATTCACTTTTCAATCCAGTTATCAAGGGTCTATCATGTGCTGACATGGTCTTAGGTCCCCGCTTGCACACTGTCTCTTTTAGCTAGTGCAGCCTTCTACAATGACAGCGCACTTATAACCTCTGTTGTATAGGTGAGGAGGTTGATATTAGGCAAGTGAAGTCACTTTCTCCCCATGTGTGGAAGAGCCTGGTAGATTTTCCAAGCAATCCTTCTTCATGTGGTTCCAAATGTTCTACATCTCTATTTATGCAGATATCAGACCTAGAATCTCTCAGTTATGGGTCAATGATAGATCTTGGACTGAAACCATTTCTCCTGGGCCAAAGTCCACCACCCTCTGCGGCCATGAGCCTCTGGTGATACCTCATGCCCACCAATGAAACCCACCTGCTCTTTGAGTTAGAGCCACCTTATGTGGCTCTTTGTTATTCTTTTTATTTTGGATGCATTAGCCCTGTCTGGACCATTAGACTGTGACCTTTCTGGGGTCAAAAATCAAGGCCCATGCTCCACTATGTCCCATCTAGAGTCTAACACAGGGCCTACCCAATACAGGGTCCTATACAACCCATGCTCTGATTTTACCTTCCAGGGAGAGACTTGTGGACCCGCAGTTTGCGCAGCAGCATATCAGAAATATTGGGCATGACATCCAAGCCACTCTTTGACTCTTCTTCCTCAATAGCTGAGGAGAGTTCAGAAGGGAGCCCTGAAAAAAAACAAAGTGCTTAACTTATAAAATGTCTGAAACCACAGCAGCACTGTTGGCACCTTGCTTCAGTTTATAAGAACCTAATTATATGCTAGGGGCTTCATCATTGTTATTTTATCTTCACAATGATCCAATGAGCTAGAACTTAATCATCTCATTTTACAAGTAGGTAAGTCAAGACTCAGCAAGGTTAATAACTTAAAGTCATAAAACTAGTAACTGGCATAATCAGACTTCAAACCAATTTCATCTGCTTTAAATTCTAGTTCTTGCCATTGCTCCCCACAGTACCAAGCAGACTTCCATGTTTGGGGTTCAAGGTTGGTTTCTGGCAACTGAAAGCTGGTTGTTCTTTAGCTGTAATATTTGGAAAAGTCCCCTCTCTTTGGCAGGCTTCTCGGGAGGCCTGTTGCCCAGTTATTCTTCCTCAATTGAACTCAGTGGTTCAATCACCGGCGTCCTACCTAGAAATCTGATTCCATATCCCCATAGATAGAAATGGTGTTTTTCCAGGGTAAAGCTAAGGTCATTAGATCTTTTACAGATCTCAGAAATAGATGCCTCCTAGCCAAAAGAACCCATGAAAAGCCTTTTATTATCTCATAAAACTACCCTGGGTCTGTGCTCTGAAAGCAGAAAGAACCAACCAAGTATTCTCTTTCCCATACATCTTTCTCCTGTTTGAAGACAGTTCTTGGACCTCTGTAAAGCTTCCGTCTCCAGGCTTTACCCTTGTTTTTCCAACTGCTCATTGTCACCCACTATGGCCTATGCCCTCTAGATATCATCCCCTTCCTGCACACATTCTGGTTGTTGCTGTGCCAGATATGCTCTAACAAGCGCTTAACTCAGGAAGACATGGGCAAATGTCCCTGGCATTAACTTTTGTTATCCATGCAGGGTAGACTCACTGTACCTTACTATGGGCTTATGGTACATTTAGGATTAAAAGCCTCAAATCCTCTACTTGAGCCAAATTAGGTATCTTCATCCCGCAGTTATCCATGTTCTACCGTCTCTCATGGGCAGGTTTCCAACCGGCTCAGTCATTTTCCAGAATTGTAGGCCAGGCCAGAGATCGGGACTAGAGGCATACTTGTGGTAGCCATCTAAGTGCAGCTAAGATTGGGAGTCATGTGAATTAGAAGTTTCTCCAAAGGAGACCATGCAGAGAGAAGAGGAGTTATAGTTTGGCTCAAGGTAAAGAATATTTAAATATTTTGAGCTTTCCAGTGTTTAGGAGTTTGCTGACACTCAGGGTATCCCAGCAATGTCTGGAGGGCCATCTGTCAGAAATGGGGTAGTCAGTGATCCTTCTTTGGATATAAAATTGGATTAGATGTTCTCTTAGCTACTTGTCATCTCTTGCGTTCTGTCCTGGCACTTACTGCTCTCTGACATTTCCATGTGACAGATGATAAACCTTGTGGTGCCTCTGGCTTTCCTATACCTTTAGGTATCCACACTGCACCCAGCAGAGAGATAATTAAGCAGTGGACTCCTGAGAAATCTATATGATTAATTGAGCCATACAAGAAATAATAATCAAGTAAAAGCCATACCAGGGGCTTTTGCATAGAGAAGTTGCCTAGGTTGAGCCTCCCCTACCCCACCAAAAAAATAACTAGTTAGGCCTTCTAGTTCTGATAAGATGGCTATCCAAAGGGTGATCCTAGAACTCGTGGATCCTAAACCAGCCACCCTCCTCCTGAAGTCAACAATTACAAAAAATTTTAAACCAACCATAAATATACCAGCAACTCTCAAATATAAGAAAAGGCAATCATCTTTAAAAATAATGGCTAGAGAAGGCAGAACTTCCTAGGAATAAATGTAGAGCTCCCACCCTTGATAGTCCTTTCTTCTTTCCTCAAAGAATCATTACTGAGAGGGAGATGTTAAGAGGAAGAATTCTGGCAAGAGTGTAATACCACAGGATGAGAAGGGAAGTAGACTAAGCGGGTGAGCAGGCAGCCTCCAGAGGAAATTCAGAAAGTTTCTTCAGAAAGGAAGGATCTCCATGCTACTACAATACTCCAACAAGGGAAAAAACTGCCTGTGCTGCTATTTGCTTTTCTTACTGAGTAGGAGGGGAGAGGAAAAGCAGAATGATTGCACAGCATTCTACCAGAGCTGATTATCTCAAACAATATGGAGGGATTTACCAGAAAGTAAGACAAAAGAAAAAATAAATAAAACAAGCCCATCCAATAAAGTGCGGGCAGGAGACACATGGAAAGCCCCAGTTGAAGCTGCCTCTTACCCCTGACCACCACTTTTGAAAAATAGCATAGTGACCAAACTCCTTGGATTTTGTCTACTTTTTCCTTCCTCTGTCTGGCAGGGGAGTGAGAATGACTGCTGGGAATAGTTGGGCCAAGTTTGGAAAATAAATACCTGGGCTGACTGTCTCTACAATTCTACCCTGAATTGGGAAAATAATCTATAATCTACTACTACTCACCCAAAAGAATAGATATGCCCACACTGTGGTGTAATAAACTCATGTGTTGGACTATGAACAAAGTTACAGAAAAAGAGTAGAAACCAGTCCCACAAACACGACTACCCACAGCTCCATCTGAAATTCCCCTTTTCCCCACTACCCAAGCAGTAATAAAGCAGACACAAAATACCCAGTCTTTAGCTAAGCCCTGCAAGAAGACAGAGATCTCAGATAAAGTAGGAAGGAGTCAATGAAAATTGACCTTTACAATATATCTAGGTAAAGAGAAAATCCAGGTGAAAATATCCATATCAAAAAGAAATAAAATGAGGAGAGGGGGGAAAGATGGTGGAGGAGTAGGGGACCCTTTTTCAACTGGTCCCCAGAATTGAGCTGGATATCTACCAGACCACTCTGAGCACCCACAAAACCAGCCTGAGATGTAAGAAGATCTGGATCTCTACAAACAGAATATCGCAGGCGGTTGGTTTTGAGGTACGAAGCGGAGAGCCGTGAGTCTGCGGGCAGATATCAGAGGATAAATGGCAGTGGGAGGGTGCCTGGCCGTGGGGATCCTACACTGCCGGCGAGCGACAGCCTCACGTGCTGTGGACGGGCACAGACTCGCAGACCGGTAGCGTCGGGAAAGAACTTTAGGGCAGCCCCCGGGGTGGAAAACCAGAGCTGCGGGGTCGCGCACACGCGAACTGCAGCCACCCGGATAGAAACCCAGAGCGACGGTCGTGCGCACGCGAACTGCAGCCTCCGAGACGGACACCCGGTGCACCGGGGTCTGCTGGTGAACTGCAACCCCCGGGGTGGAAACCCCGATTGGCGGAGTCGCGCTCACGCGAACTGCAGTCCCCGGGACAGCACCCCAAGCGGCGGGGTCCTGTGCGTGCGAACTGGGAGCGGCTGGCGATTTTAGAAGCACAAAGGGCAGAGACATGCCCCTACCTGGAGGCAGGACTGGGGGCGCTGCGGAGGGGCGCACAACCCAGGACGCTGCAGTTTATAGCAGCACGGACAGAAACGGAGACGGTGTGGCCTGGAGAGCCCACTGAAGAACAGACTGAGGTCTCTCTGCTCTGAGGCAGAGGGTTGGAAACGGTCTCTTCTGCTCTGACTCAC